CAGCGATCCACGCCGAGTGTCGGTCAATGTCACACCACACCCCGTTGTAGCGCACCACACGGCGAAGTTGAGTTGATTCTGCCAGAACTGCATCGGGTTGTTGAACCAAGCATGAACTACCTTAGCGTTAGTCACCGAAAATTTATATAGGCTGAACACATCTAAAAGCTGGGCGTTGAAATACATCCCATCAGCGACCGCGATTTTCATGGGTGAGAAATCTATGTCCAGTTTAGGGTAAAACACTCCAGGGGAGTAAGACACTCCTTGGGAATACATTTTAAAACTATTATATAATGAGCATATATACTCTAACATGTACATAACACTTCCAGGAATAACGAGCGGTGAGGCCGTTCAGCTGACGCACGCGATCGATAATACGTCGGGTCAACTCGAAGTCGCACTCTGTGATATCACCTACCTACCGCAATGGACTAACATCAACGACAGCAACAATAAGCTGTTCGTCAGTGGAGCTCGCAGCCAGATAACTGACGGCTACTACAGCGTGTGCTTGCTAAGCGACGAGGTCTTCAAACCCCTGGGAGCCGAACTCAAGATGAACGACTCAAACGGCACAGTGGTGTTAATCAACAACGGAAGAAACTCCTTGAGGCTCGGTCGACCATTGGCGAGGACACTCGGTATGCAGCCTGACGAGATAAAACCAACAACTACCGTCACAGGCACGAAGTTACCCGACCTAGTACCGTACCGAGAGCTGTACATTCATCTTAACCAGGTGATCACAACGTACAACATTCAAGGGGGCCACCCTTCCACTATACTTAGAGCCGTACCGGTGAAAACGGAGAAATACAACGACGGCAGAACCGAGTCGTTTTCACCGCGGCAGTATAAGAGGTTAACCCAGGGCAACATACCTGAGTTGATAATATCGGTGTTAGATATAAATCATAATCCCGTCAATATAGGATACCTCAGCTTAACGCTTCACATAAAATGACCAGCGCACAAGGGCCGGGGTGAAAAATGCATCAATGTGGGGATCTCCGACCTCGCGGACACCCGCGGATTCGACGCTCCCGGAGTAGATGGTAAATTGTACGCCTTGCAACTGAAAAACAACATTTACAAACGCGTCGAAGTCCCCTCTGGTGGAGCCCTAGGTGATATAATAGATACCTCAACAGCGGTCGTCAACACTAAGTACACCGTAGTCAACACCGGTGATGATAAATGGATAATATACCTATCGTTCGGGGGCAAACTGTTCGACTTAACTGATGTTGAGAGCACTACCGTCGCCCGAAACAAACCATATACGCTCGTCTTCACCGATGAAGACAAGTGGGTGTTGTTACCCGATAAAGACGACTGGTTTCTCAATATTAGGCTCGGCTCCCCCTACGTGTTCACGGATAACAAAGACAACCACCTAAACAAAGTCGTGAACACCGGAACCCTGCTAGTGGCTTACGTCCCGACTCAGAGACGTAGCGTAGCCATCAGCCCAGTCGCCAGTATGGCAGCCCACATGCTATCGAGTAAACCGGGCATGCAAAACGTGACATTGCAGTTGGTGTCTGAATTCGAAGGCGTGGTCAGGATACTGGAGAGTCTACCGGCGAACTCAACACTGATCATCAAAGTCTACCTAGGGGAACCATCGCGGGGTGATGTCGAGATCGTGAAGGGAATCAAACTCGGGTGGGTGAAACGACACCAGTATCAAGTTTGCACAGTTTACGTGCGGGTGGGTGTCGACTCCAAAACCAGTCTGCAGGGCGTCACAGTGGTCGTGGAAGACACGATATCACTAACCAAGATATTCCTACCCGACAACATACACTTCATGGGAGTGAAGTGCACCCCTGACCTATTATCAGAAAACCAGTTGGAAATTATCTCGTAATAGTATTATAGCAATGACCAGTCATCGCCCCAACACTACACTTAACGACCTAGGGGACACGGAAGGATTCGATCAGCCTGGTGAGGAAGGTGGCTCATACATCCTACACTAGAAAGACAACGTGTATAGGCGGGCAGCAATGGTTGATCATCTACCCAAACCCACACTCAGGGACCTAGAGGGATTCGATCAGCCTGGTGTGGAAGACGCCTTGTACGTCCTACAATTAATAGGTGGTGTGTACGTGCTGAGGCTCCTGCCAGACGACTTTATGAGAAGTCTGCACAACCACTTTATGGAGTCCAAATGGTTGCTCAACATAACCCTCACCACACCTTACGTCTCTTTTCGTAATGGTAGGGATATCGCTGAAATTAAGAACAGCGGTATCTTACTCGGGGGGTTTCAATCCAACGGCCCTAAAAAAATTAGAATTTCCCAAATCCCAAATCACCCTGGTTACATGTTAGATGCACCCGGGAATGCACAGTTATCATTTAAGATATACTCTGACCTACCATTTCCTAGGTTTATGCCTCCAGGCTCCACATTAATCATAATACTCTTTTTAAAAAACATCCATGGGAGTTCCTCATGGGACCTTTTATCTGGGGTGCAAATAATCCAAAGTTTTATTGGCTATGAAGACCGCTATTGTAGTATCGTTATACGACGGGACTCGGGGCCTGGTGAAGGGTTGCTGCCCCCCCTTAATATTATCTGGCTATTACTCAGCAAGCCCCTGTGTATTTGATGTAAGGCACCAAACATTACCTATTGACCTTTCCACTATTTACCTACCTGGGAATGTAGGCCTTATAAACTTCAAGTACGTTGATCGGCTATTAACTGATACCCAATTAAAAGATATTTTATCAGATATATTATAGGCACACAGAATGGGGCTGTACCCAGTCATAGAGGAAGTAGCGAAGACCCTGGAAACCGTAGACGGGTTCCGCTTGAGACAGTTATGTGATGTGAAACGCCAACTAGAACAAGACCGCGACACGCGGAAAGCCCTATGTAAAAAAGTACCATAGAGCTTTCAATATCGTGGACGGGGCTGACACTGCCCTTATGGCAACCAGCATGGGGCTGGGAGCGGCAGGTGTTGGGTTGTTAGCTACCATCGTGGCTGCACCTATAGTACTAGGTATCGAAATAACAGCTGGGGTGGCAGGGGTGTTAGGGTTGGCGCTTAAGTTGGCATCACGCAGACTGCATCGTAAGGCATTGAAACACGACGAGATCAGGGTTCTGGCTGAAGCAAAGCTGAACACAGTAAGTGAGCGTATTTCCACTGCACTCACTGACAGTAAGATCTCAGAGGAGGAGTTTAGTTCAATCCTCTCTGAACTCACAAAATATAATAAAATGAAACAAGAGATTCGATCCAAGTCTCGTAAGTCTGCTGCTATCAGTGAGGATGAGAAAAAAGTACATTGAACAAGGGGTGAAAAAAGCCCAGCAAGCCTTTATCACAAACACCAAAGAGATCATAGGCGATTCACATTAAACTGTTTCATCGAGGTAAACATGGCATAGTGTCATAGCGGCACGTTAGACGCAGCCCAGTATTGGATGATGCAATATCCGTTACTTCACCCATGTCCCCGGTAGCTCAGTAGCGCGGACTAGCGTCCCAAACTTTTTCATAGTAGGGGTAATGGTAGCAAGAGCTAAGGGTCCGACCAAAGCCTTATTTGTGAAATAAAGCTTTGCAGAGGCTTTGGTTGGAGCTGGTCCAGAACCCCCATTGTATATACTACTTACAGAAAAAGCTCATAGTGAAATATACAATATATATAATGAAAAGGAGCCCTGAGACTTTCTTCATTTTCAGCCCGAAGCTGTGGAAATCTAGACTTGTCACATTTTCTAGACTTACGTGGGATTTCTTGGCTATATTTGCTTCAGGGTCTGTATGACAGACTACAGTCAAGCTAACATGAAAATGTCGTTTTATACCTTTGGATAGCAAGGTACACTTCTTCTACAAGGAGAGATCCTAGATTAGCCGATAAAGGTATAACTAACTCCATTAGCGCACAATGTCAAGCATGCGCAATGCGATCAAGCTGCCAGTACACGTGATTATTGAACTGAGGACACGTGATATATATCAGCAGGGCAGGATCTAACACAATCAGCCAGCTGACGGGCGATAGTCCACTTGAACCGCAAGTTATGTCCATTGTTCCTGGAAGTGTTTTATTAGCATAAATGAATAACTGCCCTAGGGCAATTATTTCTATTTAAAAACAATAAATTTGTACTCATTTTGATAATCTTCATCAGGCCTAATACACTACACGCCTATTAACTAAGTATGTCCTCGTGGTGTAAGTCGTGTAATCACCCCCACTAAGGTAGTTATGGAGATTAACCTACACACAATGCCACCAGAACACGATTCCATATGCTATGATGCGTAACTCATGGTCATCACGTAATATACCAATACATATTTAAAATTCATGTTTAGACATTGAGCGATGTCGGGTATTTCCGAACAACTAACACCATACCACGCCTAATTCCTGTTGTGTTTTATTATATATATATGAAGCAAAAGGTAATGCTAACAAAGAACCGCTCAGTGGGAATCATATTCACGCACAAAGGCAAGGAAATCCTGTCCACCAATCCTGTTGCTGATAAATAACATCAAATTTTTTATCACTTTCAGATGCGTCGAACACCCTTGACGGCTCCGTTCACAACTTCTTCAGACCTATCGCTGTGTGGAGCTTCTTCAGTGATATACAAAACACAAATATTTCGCAAGCGGGTGGTCAGGATTTTTTATCACTTTCAGATGCGTCGAACACCCTTGACGGCTCCGTTCACAACTTCTTCAGACCTATCGCTGTGTGGAGCTTCTTCAGTGATATACAAAACACAAATATTTCGCAAGCGGGTGGTCAGGCTCGTTGACTTGGTAGACTCATATCATCGGATCCTAATTGTGTAGATCGGTGCTCATGCTATTGATCACGGGATTGTCTGGTCCAGACCCGATTATTTACAGACCGTCACCATATAACTGGAATATTGCTGAGAGCGGCGTAAAACCAAACTCACTCACTCACTCACCCATATGTGACTGATTGCTTACCTGACACTACAATCAGTTGATGTTGATTTGGCATCACTTGACCTCGTTGTCCTGGCGTGGACTTACAGCAACAGACACAACATTTGATGAGTCCGACGATCAGACCGATGAGGCAGAGGACACCAATTGCGATGCCGATAATGGCTCCTGTGGTCAACGAGTAGGTGTAGTGGTTGGTGCTGCTGAAATTGTGATATGATTCCAGTGTGGTAAATAGAGAATCTCACCCAAGTGTCTTCAGATATCAAATATATCAACACGAGTTGATTAAAGTTACAAATATTCGAGGCTTACCTAGGCTATTTTTACTTTAATCAACGAATGTTGTGATGTCATCACCTTTGTGACGTCATAGCATTGTCAGTTGTGTTCTGGGGAGGTGGGGTAGCCTAATGGTTAAAGCGTTGGCTCGTCACGCCGAAGACCAGGGTTCGATTCCCCACATGGGCACAATGTGTGAAGCCCATTTCTGGTGTCCCCCGCCGTGATGTTGCTGGAATATTGCTAAAAGCGGCGTAAAACCAAACTCAGTCAGTCGGTCAGTCAGTTGTGTTCTTAGTGATGTCAAAGCATTGAGAGGTCATTTTACTGATGATCTAACAGCATTATGACAATTCAATTGTTGCGATATCTACAATATCTAAACTTGATCAAACACAAGCGATATCTACTGTGGGAGCCAGTTTTGGATGATAAAGGAACTATCAACCAACTACGTCTAGGATCGACCTTAACATAAACACAACCACATGGTTGATTATTGAGGGGCGGATGGGTAACCTAATGGTTAAAGCGTTCGCTCGTTATGCTGAAGTCCCGGGTTCTATTCCCAACATGGGTACAATGTGTGAAGGCCATTTACGATAAAAACTAAACTCAGTCACTGTTTCTTGTACTACAGCTCAATAATATTGAGTGTGTTAAATCCTCTGGAAGTGCTTATTTACAATTAACTTGCATTTGATGCTACATGCTTGTATCTATGATAATCATAATATATATTGTGTATGTATGGTAAGTTGGTAACGCCTGATACTTTTGCTGTGTGTCACAATCTCCAATACTGGAATCAAATAGTAAATCGCTTTGATTTAGCGTTGGTTTCTGCACGTGTTACAAGTTTACCCCTTTCCCTGTTCTACCTATTTACTGAATTAACACAGACAAACCATTTGATCAACTGACCCAGGATTTCGATGGTATACCTCAATGGCATCAGGGTTAGCCTAATGGTTAAAGCGTTCGCTCGTCACGCCAACGACCCGGGTTAGATTCTCACATGGGTACAATGTGCGAAGCCAATTTGCGGTGTCCCCCGCCGTGATGTTGCTTGAATATTGCTAAAAGCGGTATAAAACTAAACTCACTTATTTTACGACAGCAAGTTCTTTATACATGAGGCTGACTGTCATCACAAAAAACTTAACAGCAACACGTATTGGTAGAGTGGACTTCAGTCAAGTCAATCTTAATGTTCAATAAATAATACTTAAACGAGTTTCGAATCTACACAGAAAACCGCTTGACGAGAGCATGGCAACAGCTCAGCGTCTAAGCGATGGTAACAATGCAGTTCGTGATCAAGTTGATCTACGCATTTCATGTTCGTCGCCTGCATCAAATAATACAAGCACATCTGTCGAAGAATTGCCAGATCTCGTGATCTCAGTTATGACATTTTTATGTTTATGCCACACAACCCTATCTTGGGTGCGCACGCACGCACGCACACACGCGCGCACACATGCATACATGCATACATACATACGCACGCACGCATGCATGCAAACATGCATACATACATACACACATATACTTTTCCAAAAATGAAACGCATATAGGAATTTCAACTGTATTTTTATGTTCATTTTGAAACATCTTGTAGGCTTTATGCGTCAATGAAATATAGCGAAATTGCACACTGGGAATGCAATACTTATCCGTCTTTGGCACCAACTCGAGGAAAGTCAGTTTGAGTGTCACATGGAGACGTGTGGTGGTGCTGAAGTCAATACCTCGTGTGACCACCGTGGCCATCCAGAACTGCACGGCATCGCCTCGGCATCGAACGAATAAGTCTCAGAATCTCGTGTTGCCTAATCGCAGCCCCTACTCTGCCTATAGTGCCTGTGCGAGTTGCTGAAGTGTCTGGAGCTGAGGGTTACGGCGTCGCACCCGTCTGTCCAGGGCATTCCACAGTTGTTCGATCGGGTTTACGTCCGGTGATCTTGAGGGCCAGGGGAGCACATTGATGTTGTGGTTCTGGAGGAAGTCTCTAGTGTGACGTGCTGTGTGGGGCCTGGCATTGTCCTGTTGAAACAAATCCCTCTGGCGATCAATGATTGGAAGGAGGTGTGGGCGTAGGATTTCGTCACAGTACCGTTGAGATGTCAGGTTGCCATGGAACATCACAAAATCACTTCTCCTACGGCAGGTGATCGCGTCCCAACATCATAACACTGCCCCCCGCCGATTCTGTCCACCTGGGGAACGCAAGCGTCGGCGAAACGTTCACGTCGACGTCTGTACACCCGAATTCTTCCATCGCGTCGTTCCAACAGAAATCGTGATTCATCACTGAACCAGATTCTACGCCAATTCGGTGGGTTCCAGGCCTTAACATTGGTGCACCATTGAACTCGATGTCGACAATGTTGTTGTCGAAGCACAGGGCCAAAATAAGGTCTTCTGGCACGTAAACCAGCCTCTCTCAACCTGTTCCTGACGGTCGGTGCAGAAAACCTCCTCAATCCGGGTATTTGTCGAGCGGTACTGGACACCGTAGCTGTTCGATGACGCAGGTGATGTACCCGGACGTAGCAATCCTGCGCCGCAGTAGTCGCTCGAGGTCGCCCACTACGAGGGGCATCTGTTACCGAATTCTGCCGGCGATATCTCTCCCAGAGCCTTGAAATGGTGCTTTGGTGAACATTCATGCGTCGGGCAACTGCACGTTGAGACTGGCCAGCTTCAAGCAAACCAATGGCGATATGACGGTTGGCTTCACTTAGACGTGGCATTTTGCGTTCGTCAACAATATTCCAAATACAGTGAATAATCGACAGACAGCAATCAACCTTTTATACCCATCATTGAGACTATCTGATCCCCAACTTTCATGTGCATTGCATGTGAATTGCGTATTATGTGACACTACACGCCGAAATTGAAAATCATGCTGTTAAATACGGGTATTTTACGGATGGTGCGTTTTGTTGTGATGTTTCAAAACATAAACACCATACGACTGATAAACAGAGCAAAACCTTTTGTAAAATGAATCACGTTTTAATTCACTGCTACATGAAATTGTTATTTTCATGATGCGTTTCTTTTTGGGGGGTTATATACATACATATAAGCGCACGCACGCATAATACATACACACACACACAGACAGACAGACATACACACACACACACACACACACACACACACACACACAAAGTTTAAAGTGTATCAAAGCTACACACAAAACCGTTTGCCGAGCGCTTGGCAACAGCTCAGTAACATTGATGGTAACATTGCCCTTGTGCGTGTTGTTCTACGCATATTATGTTCGTCGCCTGCATCGACTAATAAATCCCACGTTGGATAATAAAATATTTGTGTAGAGGGTGTGTGTAAAACGCACAGTGTAATTGAAATCCACAAGGAAGTATTCGCTTCGACCTCGAACTGTCAACGTTGATCTAAGGCTATACTGAATGATAAGTCCATGAATGATTCATAGTTTTATCCTTTCAACATGGAATTCTAGATAACAGGATAACACAACAGCCTTCACGGGAACGTGTATCTTGTTATTTGTATAATCAAGAAATTATGGTTAAAACTAATGGCGATTGATTTAAAGGTTTCTGCAAGTCTAGCTATACATGGTCTGTGTGAGCCCATACTTTATTTAGCTCAGGGCTGAGGTATTGTAGACTGACTTCGACCTACAGCATCTCTGCGACACTTAATTAAGTACAGGATCTATTATAATATTATTCAGGTATTGTAGGCGTACTTCGACCTTAACATTACTTAATGCTGTCTGCAATTGGCCATACTAAATTAAGTACAGAACAGAGTATTATATACATCAAGTATTGTACACTCACCTCGACCTACAACATCACTTAATGGTGTCTGTAACTGACCATACTAAATTAAGTACAGCACAGAGTGTTATATGCATCAAGTATTGTACACTCACCTCAACCTCCAACATCACTTAATGGTGTCTGTAACTGACCATACTAAATTAAGTACAGAATAGAGTGTTATATGCATCAGATATTGTAGACTCATCTCGACCTACAACATCACTTAATGGTGTCTGTAGTTGGTCAAACTAAATTAAGTACAGGATCGAGTGTTATATGCATCAGGTATTGTAGACTTATCTCGACCTACAACATCACTTAATGGTGTCTGTAGTTGGTCAAACTAAATTAAGTACAGGATCGACTGTTATATGCATCAAGTATTGCAGACTTATCTCGACCTACAACATCACTTAATGGTGTCTGTACTTGGTCAAACTAAATTAAGTACAGGATTGAGTGTTATATGCATCAGATATTGTAGACTTATCTCGACCTACAACATCACTTAATGGTGTCTGTAGTTGGTCAAACTAAATTAAGTACAGGAATGAATGTTATATACTCCAAGTATTGTAGACTCATCTAGACCTACAACACCAAATATTGTAATTATAAAGTGTTGCCAATTACAGACAGCAAAAGGTGATGCTGTAGAGGTAGGTGAGTCTACAATACCTGATGTACATAACACTCTGCTCTGTACTTAATAGAGTATCGCCAATTACATACTTAGTATATATGTATAACAGAGTATAGCACCAGAAAGCTCACCTGGACGAGCCGCAGCAGTACTTTAAATACGTAATTCCACAACAAGAGTAAGTGCAGGTCTTTAGCTGGGAAGTCCCATCAAGCTGTTTCACGTAGCATACTTCAAGGGCGCAAGCTGCAAACGATCGAGAAAATAAACACATCAACTTATACAGGCATGTACATTGTATGACGCGTGGAGTCAGGACAGAGGATATGGCCCAGAAGCCGTTGCGCGGCCGTTTAAAATTGATTTGCTCCTGCATGATATTGCAGCTATAGACTTTCCTTTATGAAACGTAAAACTAATCAATTACACATGAATTATTAAAACCCGGTGCTTTGTCGAGTCAGTACGACATCGTCACTGATTGCGCTATGAAAACCTCAGTTAGTGCAGTTGTTACCGTAGTATGTCCCCCAGTCCCTGAACCACATTATTTTCTATACTGCCTAACCCCCCCCCTGCAATGCCAAAGTCCTAAATGAAGCAAGTCTAAATTTCCTCAGGTTCTGAGTTTCCCCTCTCACTGGGGCTCCTTTTTAATTTTAATGGGTTTATTTGATACTGTCAAAATTATATGTATTCAAACACTAACCGTTATTCTTGTGTTACAGATAAAATGGATGAACTATCTCCCTACCATGGTAATATCCCCAGACCTACCCAGTAAGAGCAAACAACAGGTACAGTAAGTTATTCAAACGGAAATAGATAACTGTGATATTGGCCTCGAAACACCTCCTCAGTCCATTAGCTACTACTGTGGGTTATTCGACATTTCTACCTTAACTAACAATATTGATCCCATTTACATGGATCGGCATAACAACGCAACACACCTACACTACCTATGAACTGTGAAACGTTCTATAAAACAACCTAAGGTAAATAATTTAACCCCTAAGGTTACAAGTAAGTGACACCAGTGTCACAAAGCAACAATATAGGTAGCAAACCACAGCGTTGCTCTATATGGGTGGGTTGACATTTGAACATCAGTAGAGGGTACCACAGGTTAACATTTGAACATCAGTAGAGGGTACTGCTCCTTTAGACAAAACAAGCTGGTTGTCATCAAGTATATACTTACAAATTGTCACCAAGGTAAGGACAACACATCCGATCTGTACACCGTACATTGTAGCAAGTTGGAGGATCGTTGTTTTGATGACAAGAAGACAGCTGATTGGTTGAGGAAGAACATCGACTACCTACGGGTCGGCCTGTACTATACCATGGCAACTAGGCAACGGTGTTCGGTGGGGCGGCACCACCTTGCACAACAGGTGGAATAATAGTGCATGTTAAGGCGGATGCATTAAAGTGAGTGAGTGAGTTTGATTTTACGCCGCTTTTCGAAATACTCCAGCAATATCACGGCGGGGGACACCACAAATGTCCTTCACACATTGTGCCCATGTGGGGAATCGAACCTGGTCTTCGGCATGACGAGCGAACGCTTTAACCACTTTAGGTTGTATACTTCCTTAGCATAAGAAGGGCAGTACTAGTTTACCTTCTAATTATCGACCAATCACTTTATTGGAAGTCTCAGGGACGATCTTTGCTAAAGTTATTAGTAATAGGTTGTCGGTATGGGCGGAACGGGAACAGTTCTTTACTCCTGAACAGGCAGGTTTTAAGCCTGGATTTCAAACAATAGACAACATATGTATTCTTTATACAGTTATTAACAAATACCTCTCATTGTATAAGGGTCGACTATATTGTGCCTCTATAAACTTAAAAGCAGCTTTTGATTCTGTGGACAGAACAAGTCTGTTATATAAACTCTGGTTTGGTAATGTTAAAGCAAGAATGTATTATTTACTAGAAAATATGTATGTAAATGTAAAATCTTGTGTTTCACTGGAAGAGGTCTATACTACTTTCTTTGTCTGTGCTTTTGGCGTGCGTCAAGGTTGTCAGTTTATCTCCCTTCTTGTTTTCATTCTTTATTAATGATTTGGGGAATTTTTTAGCCATAGATGGGCAAAGATGCATCACCTTAGACGTCATAGAGTTGTTTATCTTGCTTTTCGCTGATGATATTGTTTTGTTTGACACTACTACACCTGGCTTGCAAAAGAGAATATACAAACATAATTTATGTTGTCAAATATGGAGGTTGAAAGTTAATATTAATAAAAGTAAAATCATTGTATTTAGGAAAGCAGGCAGATTAAGGAAACATGAGAAATTCTTTCTAAATGGAGATAACATAGAGATTGTTTCATCTTATAAATATACTCTCCCAAAAAGGAAACGCATATAGGAATTTTAACTGCATTTTTATGTTTTTATTTTGAAACATCTTGTACGCCTTATGAGTCAATGAAATATAGCGAAATCGCTGGGAATGCAGACTTATCCGTCTTTGGCACCAACTCGAGGAAAGTCAGTTTGAGTGTCACATGGAGACGTGTGGTGCCGCTGAAGTCAATACTTCGTGTGACCACCGTGGCCATCCAGAACTGCACGGCATCGCCTCGGCATCGAACGAGTAAGTCTCAGAATCTCGTGTTGCCCAATCGCAGCCCCTACTCTGCCTGTAGTGCCTGTGCGAGTTGCTGAAGTGTCTGGAGCTGAGGGTTACGGCGTCGCACCCATCTGTCCAGGGCATCTCACAGATGTTCGATCGGGTTTACGTCCGGTGATCTTGAGGGCCAGGGGAGCACATTGATGTTGTGGTTCTGGAGGAAGTCTCTAGTGTGACGTGCTGTGTGGGGCCTGGCATTGTCCTGTTGAAACAAATCCCCCTGGCGATCAATGATTGGAAGGAGGTGTGGGCGTAGGATTTCGTCACAGTATCGTTGAGTTGTCAGGCTGCCCTGGATCATCACAAAATCACTTCTCCTACGGTGAATCGCGTCCCCACATCATAACACTGCCCCCCGCCGATTCTGTCCACCTGGGGAACGCAAGCGTCGGCGAAACGTTCACGTCGACGTCTGTACACCCGAATTCTTCCATCGCGTCGTTCCAATAGAAATCGTGATTCATCACTGAACCAGATTCTACGCCAATTCGGTAGGTTCCAGGTCTTATCTTTGGTGCACCATTGAACTCGATGTCGACAATGTTGTTGTCGAAGCACAGGGCCAAAATAAGATCTTCTGGCACGTAAACCAGCCTGTCTCAACCTGTTCCTGACGGTCTTGGGCTTCGTCAACGTATTGTAGCACGAATTTACATGTATAATGGGCCGGTGGCCCCGTTATCGGAATAAACACTCTCTCTCTCTAGGCTTCCCCACCGCAATGTGTTAAGTGCCCATTTCTTGTGTCCTTGTGAGATTACTGGAATATTGCTTAAAGCGGCGTAAAACTAAACTCACTCACTCCAGCTGTTTCAACGTGAAATAAATAATAAATTTTGCGAAAGTCAAATGAAAGACTTTGATGTATGGCTTAACCGAAGTATGTATATTAATAATTATTTAATCACTTATACATAAAACAAATTAAAAACACTTTATTTATATATTTTAAACAGGATAAATCATTGATTGTAATGTTGGTGTATGACTAACTTTTTTGTAATATCAATTTGGCAAGTCACTGGCTTCCTTGTAGGAATTTTCACTAATCCCAAGATGTGTGAGCAGCGCCCTCCATTACTGTGGAGAAAGAAATACACAAATAAAGCAGATACCACTTTCATATGTGAATGTACATGCAAGTATAATATGAAAAAAGAGTAATTGACTGAATGTGATTTGCTTAATTTAAAAAGTAAAAAAATATTAAAAAGATATACCCCTGTTAAGTAGCCCAGAGTGGTACATTCATTAGAGTTAGACACAGCAATGACTGTCTACGTGAATTATGCCGTTTTAATTACTATAGTTGATAATTCTATCAAACTGTAATCAAATGTAACCAATATTTTGGAGTATTGTATGAAAATATGGCTGTATATCTGCAGTGGACAGCTGAAGATAAGATGATGCTGTTTATTTGACTTTTCTTGGTTATGACTTGAACTTAGTGTACTAAATTACGCTTGTCCCAGATTTAGACATCGTTGGATCTTTGGACAAAATACTACAGATTTCCGGGTTTGTGTTGGTTTTTAATTTTGTTTGTTTTTTTTCTCTGTGCGTTTGATTTGACGGGACAGAGGTGTTACCCGGGTGTCACAACCAGCCTGTGCATTGTAACTTTGTGTGTATTCTATGATCGATTTTTTTTAACAAAGTGACCGAGAAGTGGAGAGGCTGACCCGGGGAAACAGACGTGATGTCATGGGCTTAACAAGAGGGAGGGAATTCTTGGGATCGTAGAGCTATTTCCAACTGCAGTTTGTAGGCCTCTTCGTGCTTCGACAACGATATCTAACATTCCGCGTACACGAAAACGACCCGGTCATGGCTGAAAACTGTTATGTCGTGCACACACCCTTCGAGAAAAAAAGTCAACTATCTTATGCAAGGTCATCACTGCGCCGGAGTGTGTTGCAAAGCTTGGGTTACATAGCAACAGTAACAAATGTATAGTAGGCGTGGCTTCGTAGCGTCGGTGGGAACTGTGCATAACACGAGTTGTCACGGATGTAAAAAAATGGGTGGAGAATTGACACTTTGGGCAGTTCCAATCGTACTTCTCGTTGTTTGCTGTTTGCTGTAAGTATCATATATCATTACATCTCAAGGGGTGCATAGTGTAACATAGTCTATGTTCTCGGTAGCCGAGAGCGGCGATGCGGCCCTATACAGTCAAGGCATGATCCTGCATCGCGTCCGTGAACACCACCTTCTTAAATCCTATTCAGATTCTAGTGGCCTCTTATACCCCTCGATCTTTTTAGCTATTTAAAAATATTCCCCACGACTGCAAAGCTGATATCGATGTACTTCCAGATGATTTCCCCGAATATAAATGTAACTATCATGTTTGTATGAGCATAGAATTAGATAATACTAGTCCACCTACCCGTTCGATCAATTCTTGTTTCAACGGTAGCGAGCTGACATGTTCGCATGCGCCAATTTTCTATAGTCCGTTTCTGAGGCATTCGTCACCACTCGCCTCTTTCCGTAACCGCTATTCGGCTTGTCCCGGAATAACACGAGTTGGTCACGAACGATCTCGCGTTATTCCGCACTGGTTACGGAAAGGGGCGAGTGGTGGCGAATGGAATGGAGAGACTTGTCGTCTTCCGATTGGTTATTTTTCACCTGTCAATTATGAGCTGTTACTAATTATAGCATGGGATTTTCCCAATGAATAAAATCTATCATGGTTTCGTTTATGCCATACTGCTATTATTTCTTTTATGTCGAGCTAACGGCTTTGATTCAAATCAGTTAGAACAGAAAACAGCTGTATCAGCACAATGGCAGATATACCATGGACACTGATCTACATTACTGCGGCAGTTGTAGTGTCGCTAATCTTCATCATCGGTTGTGTGTGATGTGCGCGGCGTGGTAAGTACTTTTGAAATTACCAATATTACTTCTCAAACTAAAAACAAATAAAACAAGTGAAATACACAATGCCATTTTTGATAAGTGGTCAAATGTAACGTATGTTATATTTGGGATTACACACAAAGTCAGACGCCTAGACTAAGAAAGTGTAGTCCCAAATATAACATACGTTACATTTGACCACTTATCAAAAATGGCATTGTGTATTTCATAGCTTTCGGCCGTGGGAGCCGTGCCAATTAACATTTATCAGAGACAAAGTCCGCAGTCTAGACTACCAGTTGCCCGACTTCCATTTTTGTGGAAGCCGCGGTGGTTTAGCGGTCTATAGCTAGGCGTCTGACTTTGTGTGCTGGCGATTGGGTGCCTGACTCTGAGGGTGTGGGTTCGAATCCCGGATGGTACTCAACCCAAAAGTACTCGAATCTGTACTTTACTAAGAAAGTGTAATCCCAAATATAACATACGTTATAAATAAAACCAGGTTCGGTCAGAGACGGCTTTGCTTGAGCCTGACCACCCGATCCATTTAACTTCCCATAATTATACATGTGACGTCAACGTGGATAAGAGATGAAATGCTTTCTTTTCGGGTCTAAACCCCTAAAAAACTACATATTTATTTATAAATCTCAGTTAACATGAGAATATTACACACTGGTGCCACCTGGCAGTTGGTTATTTGGCATCGCCATTACAGCAGATCCTTAGAACAGCGTCAATATCCCCGTTAGGATGCACGGTTTAACGCTATTTTGAAAATAGGAATTGATTGTAAATAATCTAGTGCACGAAAAGGAATTGTACACCGCAAAATGTTACATAAACATTCACAAAGATATAAACATTACATAGTGATGAAACCATACTGAGCCATGTCACCCACGTATAGACCCATCCTTTCCCTTATTGGACAAAAGCGAAACAAGTTAACAAATCGCCTGAACGTCGCAAAAAAATCCAGCGATCTCCAAATTAGACTTGTGGTTATCTATGGCAACCTGAATGCTCGAAGATACAGGGATGAAGTTTTGCCATTTATCCAGCAACAAGCACGTGGCATTGTCTACCAACACGATAACGCAAGGTCTCATACAGCATGACTGACAAGTGACTTTCTGCATAACGCTAACATCATTGTTTTGCCGTGGCCAGCATGTCCTCCCGACGTGAATCCAGTGTTCGAAATAGTTTCCAAATTTGGATAGCTAGTCGGGCTAGCTATGCCTGAAAGTTACTATCCCACAAAATAATTCACTAGCCCGAAATTTGAATGTAGAAACTTAGCAAACGATTTCAAAAATAGATGAGAATAAGATATTGGCGGCAGGACACAGGTTTCATGATTAAGCTGCTAAACCGATAAACATTATCAGGCCATATTCTTGTATGTCTTAAAAGTGTATTATAACTTAGCAAGTCGGAGAGATTGATATATATACAAAATGACCACATGAAACTTCACTAGTCAGTCGGGCCCGACTGGAGTTTTACTAGCCAAGGGCCAGTGGCTATTTCGCACCCTGCATGAATCCGATAGAAAACTTATGGGACTACCTGGTTTCAAAAATCAGAAGATTACCAGCCCCACCTGTCACCGCTCAGCAACTGAAACAATGTCTCGTACTTAAGGGTATGGCAACGGATCACGCCTATGACGTCATTCGTCGCCCTACGTCATCAATATGTCGACGTGTTTTGGCGTGTATTGAAGCCAGTGGTGGTCACACTCACTATTGATTCAACATTTGATGACATTTTGCAGAAAAACCGCCTTGTTGATTTGTTAACTAACAGTGTCTGTCAAACGGTACTTTCGACTTTGAATGAAATGAAATTGTGTATATTTGCTGTAGAATTGAAAACTCTATTGAAATTAAGCAGATGTTTTTGTACATATGCTTTCGGGGTTTTTTCACGTTTGATGAAACACTGTATACTTTCTTTTAAGCACTAGTTTAGTACTGTCCAAACAAATACCGGACAGCCCCCCCCCCCCTCTTAGAGACAGGCACACACCTCCCCCCAGGACTATAGAGTTGTCGGCCCTATCAGGGTAGGTTTTGTTCCTGTCAAGAACCTAGCTGTACCTTGCACGAAAGCCTCCGCGAAGATTGGTTTGTTTTGGCCGCACACAGTAATATTCCAGTTATATGGCGGCGGTCTGTAAATAATATGGACCAGACAATCCAGTGATCATGAGGAATTGGGATACGGTGACATGTGTCAACCAAGTCAGTGAGCCTGACAACCCGATCCCGTTAGTCGCCACTTACGACAAATTCAGGGACTTTGTGAGTACAATTCAGGATTGGGAGGTGGGGTAACCTCGTGGTTAAAGCTCTCGCTCGTCACGCCGAAGGAACGGGTTCGATTCCCCACATGGGTACAATGTGTGAAGCCCATTTCTGGTGTCAACAGCCGCGATATTGCTGGAATATTGCCGGGCTAAAACAAGTTATTTCTTGAATGGAAAAATGTCACGAGTATGAAGAAACAATTGCAATCTTCCCTGAAATCATTTTCTCATCGGGGCAAGCAAAAGTTCAACTGAGGATGCAACGCGTCAATGAAGTGATCAGTACTGGCCTATCTGACTCGTGTTTGAATACACTTACCTTCTTGGATAGTATCGACGCCTCATTGCACCGCTCACCAGCCAAAGGGAGATAACTCTTTGGTGTCACAATTGTTAAGCTTCAAATTATTGAGTGAGTGAGTTTATTTTCATGCCGCTTTTAGCAATATCACGGCGGGGGACACCAAAAATGGGCTTCACACATTGTACCCATGTGTGGAATCGAACCTGGGTCTTCAGCGTGACGAGCTATAGCTTGAACCACTTGGCTACCCACCGACGCTTCCAATGATTGAATGTGTACGATATTCTACATATAGTAGCGTGGTTAATACGTTATATGAGGTTGTCCACTACTGACGTAATTTTAATTTCATAATGGTTCTATATTTCTCATCCACAGAAAACGGAACATCGAAACACGAAGTGTCAAGACAAATAGAGGAAAAACAAAGTACCAAAAAGGTAAAAGTAATGACACAGTTAAATGTGTTCCATCATAGCCGTGACGGGCGTGCTGTTCTGAAGCCGGTCGTCTGAGAAAAAACGGCTACAAGTTAGTGATGACGTTACATGTTACAAATCTTCCTTTTTATCCAAAAACGGGATCCGAGGCTCTGCAATTCGTTTTGCATTGGGTGCCCTTCGGCCGTGCAATAATCTAATCTAATGATAATTGGTTCGAATTCTTCATTTGCACCGACTTTGACCCCTGGTCCTTCAGAATGTCTGGGTTGCTGTCGTGTAATGCGCGACAATTGGCTTGCAGAGTTGCGTCCATTGATCACACCAGGAACCTTAGAATTGTGGCTTTGAATGCCAGTTCACCGCGGGTTTCACCGAAGTGGTAAAGGTCTGAGACCGGCGCCACGAGGCTACCTTCTACAATAAACTGACATGGTGGTATAACTGTAAAGTGTTAAAGGCGGCGTTAAACCCATCGCACTCACTAACTTTGTTCGTCAGCACCATACCCACGCACTATAATAGTTACCATTTGCATCCACCGAAATGTAGCTCGCATGCTCACTCACTCACTCACCCATCCACTCACTCGCTCGCTCGGTCACTCACTGACTCATTCTCTCACCGATCCACTCACTCGCTCGCTCGCTCGCTCGCTCACTCACTCACTCACTCACTCTACAGTGAAATATCAACTGGCCTGAGTGAGTTCTGATGATTGTTCAATATCTGCTGAGTGATATGATGATGCTTTACAAAGATAGGCAACGGGGCGGAGGGATAGCCAAGTGGTTAAAGGGTTCGCTAGTCATGCCGAATACCCGGGTTCGATTCCCAACATTGGTACAATGTGTGAAGCCAATGTATTGTGTCCTGTGTCAGCAACAACGTACAGACGTTAAAACCCACTCACTCACACACAGACAATCGCAGTATCGAGCTAGGAGATCAGTATTCAAGGATACCGACACACAGTATGTGGCTAAAGCGTTTGCTTTGAATTTACTGAAAAGATTTATGTTAAACCAAGTGCAGCTTGACCTTGGTTGATTTCTTTTATGGTTTTACCCACTTAAAACAATGACTCAGCAATGCAACGGTGGGGGCCACTAGAAATTAACGTGCCATATTGGGATTCGAACTCTGGTCTCTGACATAACACAGTACCGCTTTATATACACACACACCTACCCTGCATCTCAGGAAAAGGTGATGCGTCTGCCTTGATTGATAAACCCCATTAGAAATACAACTGTAATCAACTGTGTACGTGAAACGGGCTTCACTGTAACCATGGAAGGATTCAAACCAATGACTATGTGATAATATGTAAGTTAGTTTACGGTTTGTTCGTTTGCTTATTGTGTTTTTTTTCTATTTCAGACCCAAAGTGGATCCAAAAAATGCGGGTCGCATCATTGTCGATCATGATTATTATGATAAAGTTTAAGAAGGATTTTATGATTTTTACGCGAATGTGTTCGATAATCCAAGCTTCAGACCATTACCTAATAATACCAGTATAACCATACCAACATGTGTTTGATAAGGATTGGAAAGCCACATTAACTCGGTGCTAACCTAGTGGCTGCAAGAGTTGAATGAACCCCAGGGAGTTGAGATTGATAATACGATGTGCCGTTGAGACTGACATCCAATGATCGAGGGGGGAAATACCAGCGTCTTGAGCATGTACAAGTTGCGTGCCTATGTGCGCTATATCAATATCCCATAATAATATAATAATAATAATAATTTTCTGTCTCTTTTGAGAGCAATGTGATTGACAAGATTCAGGAAAAGAATGATAAATATGCGGACCTCGCCGGCCTTTGAAATGTCTCGCTTGCATCCCAAGTACACTGTCATCAGGCTCCCCATTGTTCTCGGTGCCCTTGGTTTGGTACCTCCTGATCTCTTGGCGCAGATCAGGAGAGTGTCCGGGTTATCCAATGGGACCACAGCCCTTCTGACACTCTTGGTAATGCAGAAGGCTGCAGTGTTGGGGGGAGACTTCATATTCTCCGGAAAGTTCTTGGTGGGTTCGACTAGGCAGTGTTTCGTGGGAGAAGTCCCATTCGCTGTCTGGGCTGCGTGTAGAGGGGGCGAGGGCCCTGAGCTGACGATGAGCCTTACCAGCCTGACTGTGCCAGGATCACCCGAACCCTCTCTGCTGCATTTTCATCTTTAATCTGTAAAACATAATGATAATAATAAATTTAATAAATGCACCACTAAGAGCCAAAAAAGGACCCACCACTGGGATTATACTAGCACTTCAGTCAGTGGCACCTGTCAAGAGGTTCTTAACTCGTTCCCACCTGTGAGGAGCATGCTGACTTGTATTTAAGGGAAGTTACTCCTTGCTTTGTCTTTTTCATTTGCCATGTGGTCTGAGTGGAAGACATGTTGTTTTGAGATATGGAAAGATGAGCAAATGGGGTCTAACAAAATGGTATGTAGATATTTTCATTGTTAATATAATTTATTTGTGTGTTTGAGATATGGTAATGCATAAAATATTACTATTATAAATTTTCCATGTTTTATTGCCATGTTTGATAAATGTACTTAGTTTTCATGCACTGGTTAAATTTCTTCATTGAGTAAATTTAAAGTGTATTTTATAAGGTTAGGGTGTAGGTTCATTTAGTTATTTTCTCTAATGTTAAAGTTACTTTCCATATAATTTCTGAGCTGTTAAAATAAATGTATTTCATCTATTTTTTTTATTTATTGACTGTAATTTTCTTAGACATGTAATACTTTAGGTACTTATTACTTTTTTTGTTTTATTTACAGTCAATCATTTCATTCGTCTGAGAGGATTTATGATGAGAATTGAGAATGATGAAATTGAATATGTATGTCATGAGCTTGAATCTGTGAAACTATGAATTTGAGGGACATGAACATGAACTGACATGAGAAGTGGAATAAATGAGCACTCTGACGATGAATGAATCTTCATTTTGTTTATCACATTCATTGACATTTTGACCCTAGATGAGTAGTAAGGAAATTGAAAGCAATTCCCAGTTCAGAAGTGTTTCATCAAGAAAGAGGAAAATGACAGATAAGGGTTTATTGTATAGCAAGGAACAAAAGGCTAAGCTCTTAAAGCATTCATACAGGCAGCTGAAAACTAAACAAGATAGTATTCAAGTCCTCATATCTGAAAACCCAGATGCAGAAAGAGTGAGACAAGAACATTCCAAATATCTATCATTACTGGACAAGCACTATTCATTGAGAGACGAGTATCTAACACTCTTAGATGAAGAGGAAAAGAAACAATATAATGAGGAAATAGACATTGAGGAAAGTCCATTCATATATGATTTCAAACAGAACATTGAGGCGTGGTTCAGTGCCAGTGTTGTGCATGCACATGATAGTGTGTCGCAGAGTGGAAGGTCAAAGCTGTCAAGTGGTAGCAGACATAGTTCAACTTCATTAGCCCGACTGTTCGAAGAACAGAAAAAAGCAGAATTGAAGGCAAAGGCTGCAAGCCTAAAAGAAGTTGAGAAACTTGAGATGAGCAAGTTAAAGTTGAAAATGGAGGAAAAGGAATTAGAAATAAGGACTGAACTTGCTATAGCAGAAGCAAAAAACAAAGGTAATTGGTGACTTTGAGAAATTGTCAGATGGTAGTCAAGCTAAGCATTCCGTGAAAACATCACCTATGAAGTCTCATGTGGAAAAGAACCAAGATCAAGTTAAAGCTGTTGATATCGACAAGTACACACCTAAAGAAATGCCTCAATTTGGACCAATGTATGATTATGGGTTTGTCACGCGACATCTGAAGAAACCTCAGGTTGACATTAAGCCTTTCAATGGAGACCCATTGGACTATCGACGCTTTATGAGACAGTTCAAAGGCTGTATTCTTGTCAATACAGATGATGTAGATGAGATAGTCAATTACCTTGATCAGTACACGTCAGCAGAGGCGAACAGAATTGTAGCAGGTTACAGTTACTTGGAGGGGCAACAAGCCTATTGCGCCATATTGGACGAGTTTGAAGAGAGATATGGGAGCTTAGACACCATCGCATCAGCCTTCGTGAAGCGAGCTTTGAATTGGCCACCAATAAGAGCAGAAAATCCGAAAGCCTTGGATGATTTTGCTATTTTCCTGACAGAATGTGAGAATGCTATTCAGAGCATAGATGCCATGAAGATTTTGGACTATCCAGACAACCTGAAGAAATTGGTCATGAAGCTTCCCTTTCACTATCATGACAGATGGCGGAATGTAGTACAACAGTACAAGACACAAGGACGTTCAGTCTCATTCTATGCTCTCAAGGAATTTGTGAGAAAAGAGGCAAAGAAGGTGAATGACCCAATCTATGGGAGAAGAGCCCTTAGTGAACAAGCTAGACCATTGGAGAAACCCAAGCCTAAACCGAAAGTGATGGCAACAAGTATGCATCAGGAAGAGCGGACGAGCAGTACAGTTAAGCCAAAGATACAAAGTTGCAGTGGAAAGGCCAGATCATTACTTTGCCCATGCATATTTTGTAAGCTGGAGAATCATGGACTAGAGATGTGCAAGAAGTGGTCAAGTCTTGCTCATGGAGATAAGCTTCATTTTCTAAGGACAGCAGGACTCTGTTTCCGATGTCTACGCAAGGGGCACATGAGTAATCAGTGTGACATGAAGATTGTTTGTGAAAAAATGCGGCTTGAATCATCAAACTGTATTACATTATGTTGAACCCAGATATCTGGATCATCATAGAAGACACGTTGAGAAGGACTCCAATGTCTGCGTGTCACACACAGTGGACCATATGGGGGCTGGAGAAGGAGACTGCACTCTAGCTATAGTACCGGTGCTTGTCAAGATGAAGAACAGTAGTAAGGCTGTTCACACATATGCATTTTTGGATCCAGGAAGCAGCGTATCATTTGTATCTGAGAATCTGAAGAACAAGCTGGGGTGTGAAGGGAAAAGAATGAAAATTGAGCTTCAGACTATGGGAAAACCTTACAACATGGTAACATACTGTGTTAATGACCTGGAGGTGAGTGACTTGAGTGGAGAGAATGTGGTACAGTTACCTAAGGTATATTCTAAGGAGAGGATGTCAGTCTCCCAGCACCACATACCAACACGCTGACGTTTCACAGTGGCCACATCTGGCAGAGATAATGATACCCGAGATCAACACACAGATCGGCTTGCTATTAGGCAACAATGTGCCCGACGCATACTCACTGCTACAAGTGAATACAGGACCGTCAGGCAGCCCACATGCAACACTTACACGACTAGGATGGGTTATTTGAATTTGGTGAGAAATGAGATACATGATGGGCCTATGATGACAGTAAATAGAGTTGAGATTAGAGCTTTAGAAGAGAATGAGGAACTGAGAACTTTGGATCGGCTTGTAAGACATTCTATGAACTTGGATTTTCCGGAACGTCTTATGGATGACAAAAGGCACCCTTCATATGAAGACAAGAAGTTCTTGACAAAGGTTGAAGAGAGTATAAGACTAGAAAGTGGGCATTACACTATTGCACTGCCATTGAGAAGAGAAATAACACAGCTGCCAAGTAATCACAGCCAAGCATTCAAAAGACTGATGAATTTGAAACACAAGATGGAAAGGAATAGTAACTTCTTGAAGGACTACAGAGACTTCATGGACAAGATAGTAGCTAAGGGCTATGCTGAGAGAGTACCGGACCATGAGTTAGAGAGAGAGATGATGGGAGAGTGTGGTTTATTCCTCATCACGGGGTCTATCACCCCCACAAACCAAACAAGATTCGCGTCGTGTTTGACTGCACAGCCATGCACCAGGGAGTATCATTGAATAGCCTATTGTTGCAGGGACCAGATCTGACAAACCGCCTCATAGCAGTCTTATTACGTTTCAGACAGGAGCCAGTAGCAGTAATGGGATACATTGAATCAATGTTTTACCAGGTACAGGTACCCAAAGAAGACCGGGGACCTTCTCAGATTCTACTGGTGGGAGAAAGGAGACTTGAGCACTGAACCCATAGTGTATCGTATGTGTGTACACCTGTTTGGAGCTGTCTCTTCACCCAGCTGTGCAACTGCTGCTTTACGTCAAACCGCCAAGGATAATAGATCTACGTTTACACTACGTGTTACTGAAGTTGTCAACAAATCCTTTTATGTGGATGACTGCTTGAAGTCAGTTGAGAATGTGAACAAGGCGATGGAACTCATTGATGACGTGAGTGCATTGTGTGCTAAGGGAGGATTCCATGTCACCAAGTGGGTGAGCAATAGCCCTACGGTTATACATAGCATTCCTGTTAACGAGCGGGCTGGTAGTGTCAAGGCTCTGGACTTGAAGAATGAAGAATTACCAGAAGAAAGGGCACTGGGTGTGCTCTGGTCAGTACAAAAGGACTGTTTCAAATTCGACATTCAAGTGAAAGCCAAGTCACCGACAAGACGAGGTATTCTAAGTATTGTTAGCTCAGTCTATGATCCCCTGGGTTAAGCCTCGCCATATGTTCTCGTCGCGAAGATTCTTCTGCAGCAATTATGTAAAGAAAACCTTGGATGGGATCAAGAGATCTCATAATGTGACCAGAAAACATGGCAACAGTGGATAGACGGATTGAGCAAGTTGAAAAACATTGAGCTACCGAGATGCTATAAGCCAGCAAACTTTGGACAAGTGACGGCCTGTCAGTTGCATATGTTCTCAGATACTTGCGAACAGGGCTATGGAGTTGTAGCCTATATTCGACTTATTGATGAGAATGATCAGATCCACATTTC